TGTCTGTGTGTGTTCTTCATCCACCTGAAGCCCTCAGTCCCTCCTTCCTCCCTTCATGCGAACGCCTTGTTTTTGCCGCCGGTTTGAATTTGATCAATACCCTTGATCTTGCTATCCCTCCTGTTCAAGCACCCGTTTGTGAATTAAGTGGACTCCCTCCCCTCCCCACTCTGTTTGAATTGGACGGACATAGACGAGATTACCACCATTCTGCACGGATTACCCTCTTCATTCTCCTCCGCTCTTCCTCCTCTACACGCTCTTCTTCATGCTCACGCCTTCAAGCACCCCTGGTCAATCAACTGGACTGCTTCTCCCCCACCCCACCCCCCCTCTGTTTGAATTGGACGGACACAGAAGAGATTACCACCATCCTGCGCGGATCACACTCTTCATTCTCCTCACGCCCTTCTTCGTGCTCACGCTCTACCAATCTAATCTATGTTCTTCCTCTTCCTCATACTCTTTGTCCCACTCATTCGCCTCTCTCTCTCTCTCTCTCTCTCTCTCTCTCTCTCTCTCTCTCTCTCTCTCTCTCACACACACACACACACACACACACACACACACACACACACACACACATCTCCGCGCGCTCACCCATGCTCAGATCGAAAAACAGAAGGCCTTTTTCAGATCTACAAGCAAAATGTGGTGTTTCCGTGAATTTGGAAAAGAACAAAGAACGAAATCCAACTGTCTAGGTCGGGCAGAAAGAAGGGAGGAAGAAGGCATTGGGGGGGAAGGAAGGGAGGGCGGGAGGGAGGGATAGGAGACAAATGAGGGATTAAAGGAGGGAGGGCGCAAAGAAGGAGGAGGGAAGGAGGAAGAACAGAGGCCCAAGCTTGAGGGGGGAAGAAGCGGGGTCAAAGGAGAAGCGCCAAGGCAGGAATGGAGAGAGGGAAGCGGATAGGCCGAGGGAGGAGGGAGATGATGATACCTCTCTCTCTCTCTCTCTCTCTCTCTCTCTCTCTCTCTCTCTCTCTCTCTCTCTCTCCCTCCCCCTCTCTCTCACCCCCACCCACACACACCCCCCCCCCCCCCCCCTCTACCGTTCCCGACTTCCCCCATTTATCCTCCTACCCCTCTGTCATCTCTTTCTTAGATAGAATTCGCGAAAATAAACGCATTCTCTCTCTGTGTCTCCCCCTGTCCTTCATCCACCTGATGCACTCGTACTTCCAGCCTCCCTTCACGTGCGCACACCTTGGTTTTTCCCACTGTCCGAATTCGGTCTATACTACTCATTTCGCTCTACCTCCTCTTCACCCACCCTTCCATCAATTAATTGGGCTTTTATTTTTTCCCCCTCCGTTTGAGCAGAGTATGCACTCGGTCCTTCCAGCCTCCCTTCACGCGCGCACACCTTGCTTTTTTTCCCTCCGTCTGAATTCCAAGGTTCATCTGTCCCTCCCTTCCCTCCTCCCTCCCCTTGCCCCCCCCCTCTTCCCTCCTCCCTCCCCTC